TCTCTATTTTTTGAAAGCAAAACCCTTGCTCAACTTAATTGCTTCTTCTGTATTTGAACAGTTTACACTTGCAAAATTATGACATGATAGATTTGGCCACATTGACAAGAAGGCTTTAAATTCTTTACAATCAAAATGAGTTTTTGGAAAGCAAAATCTTGGTGATTTTGGTTCTTGTGAACAATGTATTATAGGGAAACAAGTCAAACTAACTTTTCCAACTCGAATTCATAAATCCAAACAAATATTGGAATATTTACATGCTAATTTGTGAGGTCCTACTACTATATGTACTTTATCTGATTTTAAATATTTTTTGCCGATCATTTCTGATTATTCTAGGAAAATTTGGGCTTTTTTATTAAAAACTAAAGATGAAACTTTTTCAGCTTTTAAGAACTGGAAAACAAAACTGAACTAAGGGCACGAATGTCTTTGGATCAAGACCTACTAAACAATGTAGAGTCAATCATCCTATATATTGTCAACAACCTCCGAGCAATTTTGAACCTATGTTTATTCCCACTTGTGACCAATGTGGTGCACTGGGACACACAAGACCTAGGTGTCATAAATTCACAGCTAGGAGAAAAAGTTATGATTTTTCTAGTAAGGTTAACTTTCTCGATAATCAGGTTAACCGTTTAACTGAGATGATGATTCAGTTATCTAGGATCACCTTTACTTCTAAGAAGGTTTAGGTTAAAAAAAGTGACATGAAAGGTCGTGAGTTTGATCATGCTCTTAAAGGTAAGAGCATTCATATATTCCTTTAATCAGATACTTAAGTGCATGCATGTGCAGTTCATTGAGTCCAATCATTCTTGCATGTTTATCACATATTTGTGGTTTGTTTTGAGTTTGGTGTGTGCATTTATTTTTAAAAAAAAAATTAATTGTGTTTTTGTGCTCTTACACATTTCATGGTGCTCTTAAATGTTGCATGTGGGACCGAGCATGCATTCATCTGATCTACACTATTGTTTCTATTACTTGGTTCAGTTTACGATGAAGTATTGAGTATTTGTTTCTTCATGTACCAGTTGTACTGAACACACTGTGATCTTATGAGTGAATTTGGACAGCATGTGTGAGATTTGGAATGGTCAACATTTGTTGGTAAGGTGACCTTGAACGTAAATTGACCTTCATATCGATGACCTAAGCTCATATATTGTCCGCTTTAAAAAAAACTTGGTTCATCTTATACTCTTGTTCGAAACCTATTTGACTCGAGTAATTAAGCCTGAGAGGTTTCTCATAACTTGTTGCATATGGTCGACTGATTTAGGTTAATTGGCCTAAAGCTCATTACAGTGGTCAGTTTAGTCACTTAATACACAAGAGTCTGCACATAAGATACCATATTTGAGAAAAATGACATAAAAACTAATATGCTAAAATTCAAGGGGAGAAAAGAAATATATCCATGTTATTTAGCTCTTTTTACGGTCATAATCATCTTATGGGTTTGACTTTCATTAGTAAGAGAAGATAGTTATTTGACAATAATGTTCGCTATTCCTTCTCACAAATCTAAGGTTTCGAGTCATGATCACGAGAACATAGTGACACTTAACACACGTGAGTCACTTATACACTTTTACTCCATTTTGAACTTAATTAGTACGTGGGGAATTGTTTTTCTTGATAATGCTAAGTCTAATTCTGGATAAGTCCTTGTTAATATGGAAAAAGAACTGAGCGATGAATGGATTCTTAACTCAGGTTGTTCCTTCCATATGTGCAGAAATAAAGACTGATTTCTTGATTTTAAAAGGGCCGTTGGAGGACAAGTGATAATGGAACACAATTTTACCTGTAAAATCAGAGGAATATGGACTATAAAATTGTTATTGGGAAATGAAAATGTTTTATTTCTTAAAGAAACTAGGTATACAAATATGGGTATGTTAGATGATATGGAGTTTAATATAAATATGGGTCAAAGACATATTTAAATTCTTAGGGGTAATGATTTAATCATAAGTACCTCTAAAAGACATGGTCTCTATTTTTTGAAAGCAAAACCCCGGCTGGACTTAACTGCTTCTTCTGTATCTGAACAGTTTACACTTGCAAAATTATGGCATAATAGACTTGGCCACATTGACAAGAACACTACAACAAAAATAGTCATT